ATTTTTCATAGCCTCACGAATATGTAAGGACTCCAAGTTTAATTCGTTAACTTGCTTACTTAATTCATAAAGTTTATTACGTGTTTTGTCACGTATATGTAGTTTTTCAGCTAGTTCCTTGTTAACCGTCTCATTAATAACCGATCTGACAACAATTTTAGTATCCTGGGTTACTTGAATATGCGACATGTAAGAATGATAACATGCACAGCATAATTCATCTTGGTAGACTAATTTTCGTGTAGGTGTAGAATCAACAGCTTGGTTTACTAACGTGGGTTTCTCTAAATGTGTGCTTGATAGATTATTAAAAGCCGAACAATTAAGTAGTTCTCTATTACCACTTTTATTGAATACATTTTCGACAGAGCATGGTGAATGACATACGCTTTTAAAATGTGTACGAATTTCACCATCGACATTAAATTGAGTAACGCAGTCTCGATCCTGGCAAACCAATTTGAGCTTGGTGTCATCAGTCATTTGGACATTTTCGGATTTGAAGTACAATCTTTGTTCAAGGTCACTAATAGGTTGTATAAGACTTTCATTTACTTTATTAAGATTATGCAAGTCCTTTTCAATATTATAGATATTTTTAGCAATGTCGTTTAACGGTTCGGTTAGTAAAAGTATAGTGTGTTTGGCGTTATTAAGTGATAAGGTGTCCATTACCTTATGGGGCGTTAGTGATTGAATGCGGTTTAGTAGTCGATTACATTCACTGACAGAACTATTGTGTATAAATAAAATAAGATTTTTATTTAAATATATAATAAAAAATATAATCTACAATGCTTATACTAAAGAGATCACTCAGCTCAATGTTCAGTTTTAATATGATTTTATTTATAATACTGTTTTTCATTATAACCTACAATGCGCATACATTGTGATCCGGGCCACATTAACAGTGACTATTATAACATGAGTCAATATAGAGATTATTGTTAAAATATTTAAAGTTTTGTCACTCATAGTGTGACCCCAAATGGCTCCAGTGTGCTGAGTAGATTATAACAATCATACAGTATGCATTTAATTTAAAGGAGTTTGCTTGCTTAAATAAAGCAGATTTAAGTGGTCTCTTTCGTAAAATCCTCACCGATTTTTAAATCAAATAATATATGAATTATTTCTGAATTATTAGCCATATAAATTTTAAGTTTTCAAAATATTTACCGGTCCCAGCTATCTTTAAAGTCATCCCGCATATCCTCATTAAAAGGCATATTATATGGCGGTGTCGATGCGGCCAAGTATCTAAACGCCTCGTTATCCAAACAGAAATATGAATCTTGATTGTAGTTAATGACAACGTTTTCTGATAACACGTTAAACTCATCCAATAATGCTTTTAACACGTTTTCCGTAGCCCAGGGAGCATAATTTGTACCGCGAGTATTAGTGTAGAGGAACAGTATGTTATCGGCGGCCGATTTATTCAAGTGACTGAACAACTCATACAAACAATACTTGAAAAGCACATCAAGTCTGGGGTTATTAGGCTTTAAAAGCACACAAATGGCTGTAATTTCCGGATAATTGCTAATAAAGTCAAACAGATTTTCCATATTTTTCATATCTCTATCTATACCACTCGTATCGGCAATACCCGGGGTATCAATAATATTTATAGTATAATTTTGCTTAATTATTTGATACAATTTAGGGTGCTGGGTAGCCGACCTTGATGTATCAAACGTGTTTTCATTGTTATTGTGAATACCGTAATCTATTGTAGTTTCCTCGTATGTTATAGGGTGGTAGAAATTGATTTTACCAGGTATTATATAAAGTGGGTGATCCCTGGCCTCATCCAACGTGTCGTAAGTCATATAATTGACGAATGCGTTGATGAACGTGGATTTTCCTACACCCGACTCGCCCAATAATAGCAAGGTTATTTCTGTAGGCATATTATTGACTGTGATAAAAATGGTATTAAGGTGGATTAAATAATTTAAATATTTATATTATTTTAAATTAAATAAAACTATAAATATTGTAAATTGTTATTTTTGAGGATTTTTTATATTATATTAATTTTATTTACTAGGTATATAAATAATTTTAAAGTATTCTATTTATTTAAAATAAAAATAATGTATAAAATTATTTACCTTTAATGTCAATAATTTATAAAAATTAAAAAATTTATTAATAATTTATATGTCTAATTGACAAAGTTATAGATTTATTAAAATGAACATTTAACTATATAATTACACTAGTTTATATAACTTATTTTATTATGCAGTTTATTATGATCATAATTCTGAATTAAAAATTATAATTGAACAAGTTCATAATCTCATTTATTATATCACTATTGAATAAACTTCAATAAGTTAAATATTTGATTTTTTCATAAATTATACTTTATAACTAACATAAGTTTCGTTGATAAAAATCTGAATTTCAACTTTATCAATATCCTGGATTATTTATCAACTATAATCATTATTTGTATTGCGCACGTAACCAAGGTTCAAATGGTTTCCGGCTTCATTTCTAAGAAAGCAAAATTATCATAATACTAAGGTTTATATAATATTTTATATTTCACATTTTGAGTGCAATAATTATAAAATATAATTGATATTTTTTAAACATAATAATTACTTATATAAATTATTTAATTTGTTTGTATAATATTGGTTTTAATATAATTTAAAACAATTTAAACGTTTCAATTAATATTTTTTAATTATAATATTACATTAAGTTATAGAATGTATTAGAAATTATATTTTTGTAATAAACAATACAACAATTAATTTCTTATGTCTATAACAATGTTTTATTTAATTAAGATTTTACGATAAAGTATAAACTAAACAAATACCCTCGCCCACTTATATACTATGCTAACATATTTGTTTAATTGATAATGCTTGATATTTCTTAGAACATTATTATGAGGCAAACAAAGAAATATGATAATTTTGAAAACTATATAAACAAAGGTTAATTGAGACTGTGTCGGTGTTTAGTGTTTTAGTGTTTTAAAAAGCTGGTTTTAAAAATTAACATAATTTTTAAAAATAATATTTGAACCCAGTAATTCTAAGGTACTCCACCCTGAATTTAAAATATATTAATCATAACTAACTGAATAAAATAAGATGATTATTGGATTAAGCAATATAATTTAATGTTTTTCAAAAATATAGCCATGGTTAAAAATGAGATAACCATCTTATTGTTGGGTGAGTCTGGTGTGGGTAAGTCTACATTCATCAACTCAATTGGTAATTATCTGGCCTATGAGACTATGGACGAGGCCAAGGGTCAACCTAAATGGTTAATACCATGTAAGGTTGACATCCGGGACCCTGACACCGACCAGACTCACACGTTCACGTTGGGACAAAATAGCGAACATGAAAACACGGACAACACTACTTTGTCGGGCACAAAACAACCACGATCCTATAAGCTATACAATAGTCAGTCGGTGATCAAAATTATCGATACCCCGGGTATTGGCGACACGGCTGGCATGGAAATGGATGATAAAAATCTAGAGAATTTGTTGGACTTTATTAGCAATTATCGGGAAATTGATGCCATTTGTTTGCTATTAAAACCGGATTCCCCTCGACGTAACGTATTAATCGATTACTGTTTTAATCGTTTATTGAGCCAGCTCAGTAGGTCGGCGTCCAAAAACATCCTGTTCCTGTTCACCAAATGCCGGGGCACTCAATATGCACCGGGAGAGTCAGCACCCGCAATAAAAGCCGTTTTAGATGAGTTTAAGCAAGGTCCTACCAATATTGACATACCGTTTAATAGGGATCGAACCTATTGTTTCGATAATGAGTCACTTCATTATTTGATGGCTACTAATCCGCCAAATAATATGCAATTTAATGAGACATTTATGAGGAACTATGACAAAAGTTGGCGCAAGTAAGTTTACATTTGCTACTTAAAATTAATTATAATAATTTCGTAACTACATTCTCAATAATTAAATAGTAACAATATTATAATATTTTAGTATGCATATTTGGAATTCACAAAATTATTAATATGAACTCTGCTTTTATATGAATCTTATTGTTTAGCATTAGAATATTTATATCAAAAATGGGTTCATGAATCAGTTTTTAAAATTATATCGATTATTATAAACTCATAAATGAAATGACATGCATGTAGATTTTGTTTTTATTTTATGTTATTTTTTTAAATAATAGATCATCAGCTGAATTAACTCGTTTATTGAAATTCATATCCAATATGGATCCATATAATGTGCATGATACAACATCGATCAATAGCGTTCGCAATCACATTAAAAACCTAATACAGCCATTAATTGATATAATTAAGACTATGACCAAGCACATTCATGAATGCGAAACCCATAAGCAACGTATAAAAGCACTCGAAGATGACATAATTGGGCTACAAGGTCGTTTAGAAAAGTCGACCGTGGAAATGATCACCACCAAATTGGAGCACCCTGTACCTATTTGCGACGGTAGCATTGGCTGTGGCTGTACAACGCCCAGTTACGAAAAATACGTTACCGTAGTGGAAAAGGATTCGGGGTTTTTTGGTCTTATGTCATCCAGGACAGAATATCAAAAACTTGAACGCACGGAATATTGCATACATTGTAGTCACCATTCAGGCTGCCATAAAGTACGTCACTATGATACGGTACCAGTTACAAAAATGATATCCGATGACGTTAAGGTTCAACAATTTAACACGGCTAAACAGGAGTTGGAAGTGACCAAGGCAAAATTACAAGAGTTAGAGATTATTACGGAGAAAAATGAGCAAGAGAGTTTGTTGATTGTTGAAAGTATGGCAAAGTTTACGTGCTTTTTGCAAAATAACTCGCTAACGCCACACGTTGATAATTTTAATGAATTATTAATTCAGCTTGTTAATGATGAGAATCGTGGAAATGATATTGGTAATGGTAGTTGCCAAGCGATTGTTGATAAACTTGAAAAATTACTTGAAAAATATAATTCAGAAAAGCAAACTCTATTAAGCACGGATAATGGAACTGGATCAAATGCAATAACTTTGCAGGCAATTAATGATTCAATAAAGCTACTTTGTGAAATGCCATTAAATGGTAAAATTATTAGTAATTTGTATACGTTACAGCGTAGAAAAACAATTTGTGACCACGTTAAATTAAATGAAAATGGTTTAGCTTTACCTGAAACACGTGGTAAATTGTTTTAAACATTATATCTTTTTAATGTTAATAATTTTATAATATAAATTGTAAATTTTGTGTGAAGTTTAAGAGTGAAAACTTTTAAGTATACATTTTAATGTCTTTATTAATGAGAGAAGAAAATATTTTGATTTAAATTAAGTATCTAAATAAATCTATTAGTATTAATATAAAGGACATGTCTGGATATGCACCAAGGTATTTTATTTATTGAAGAAAACATAATAAAATGATTAACCTTTGAAATTTACTCCATAAATAACGTTAATGATTTTTAAATACATAAATTACGTAGATATAATATAATTTTTAAAATTTAAATTTTTGCCTTCATTCAACTTAGGAACGAAAAATAAACTGGCATCACATTAAAATAATCATAATATTTAAAGTTTCGTATACTGTTAAGCTCTTAAAGCATTAGTAAATTGTGATGAAACACTCAATTTATTCAATTTCGTTTTATAGTAATAAATGCATATACATTTTTTATATAAACTTAAATTATTCTACAACCTTACTTATAATATTAAAATCATTTCCATAATTGTCTTTCATTCAATGTCCTACATCAATCTTGTAAGAATTCAGTAAAATAAAAATGATTTATATAAAACTTATCTAGATAATAAAGTGTTGATTTATAAATTGTCTTTTTATTAGCATACATATGGAACTTATGCAACGTAAAACATTATTTATTTGTAACCGATATAATTTATCTATTGTAAAACCTTTTATTTATAAAATATTTCTGACAATTAAGAAAGTATTATAAAATTCTCGCATTATTAAAATGATTAATAATTAAATTAATTTTAGTGTTTTATAAAGACTAACATTTTAAATAGATTCATTTAATTACATTTTTAAAATAAATAAACTAATATATAAATAACATTATTAAAAACATTTTATTATCTTATCTATAAGCCTGTAAATATTTTGTATAAGTTTTAAAAATTGTTTATACCTATCTCTGATGTAATTGTTAGATTTTTCTAAGAATCAGTTATATAAAACTCATCTAGATAATATAAAAGTGCTGTTTGCAATTTTATCAGTGTGTGAAATAAAGAGACTTTTGTTTTATTAAGTGTTTAATAAAAGTAATTACTCCTAGAATAATCTTATTAAATTGACCTTTATCATCGCCGCAATATACATTTATGTAGATAAATAAAAGGTATTGCTAAATTATTATTTGTATGAATCCTGTTAATGCAAAGTATTAAGTATAAAGTATAATTTTGTATAAAGTATTTAAAATAGTAATATTAATTTAAAATATTAACAATATATAATAAATTTAATTTTATAAATATTAATTAAAACTATGATTGAAATATAAATTTTTCAAATACTTGTTTATAAACTATTTATCTAACTTACATTTATATAGAACAATTTATATCAATAGGATTAATAATAGGATATCAAATATGTATCCAAGGTAATTTGTTTGTTAATAAGTAACAATCAGTAACTATAAAAACAAAATATCTAAACTACAAGTAAAATACAAATTATATTATATTAATTAAACATCGTCTTAAATAAAATTATTTGATGAATCAATTAAACCCAATTTATGTAAAACGTATCCTGGTACTTGGAAAATATCTGCCTAACAATGGCGGATTCAAAGGACATGGATGGAAAAATAGAGAGAATTAAAAATGAATTAATTAAGAGCTCTCATGAATTTATGAGAAAACGTTTTAATAGCCTAACACTACAATATGAGCCAGGTATGTATATTAATTAATTTAACATACCTATTTGAATCAATGAATAAACATTATACTGCTAAATTAA